TAATCACTTTTGACTCTTCTCTCACACCCAACATCCATCAGCAAATTCTGTGAGCTCTACCATCATAATCTATTTAGAATCATTTTAGTTTTCATTGCCATGTCCACCTTGACTCGCTTCCAAGCTACCATCATTTCTCTCCTGAATTTCTCCCTAAGTCTCTAAACTGGACTTTCTAAACTTACCCTAGGCTCTCATGCAAACCATACTCAATAGAGAAGTCAGAATGATCTTTTTAAAAATGTAATCTGTATGATGATTTTCTCTGCTCAAAACCATCTAATGACGGTCTATATAGTTTTTTTCAGAATTGAAGCCAAAGTTCTTCCATTAACCCTCAGTGCTATCTATAATCTGTGCTCATTTTTATCTCCCTAACTTTACCTCCACTTATTCCTCTCTCCCTTCCCCCATCAGCTTCATTAGTACTGGCTTCATTGTGGTATTGATTCTTAAAGCTACCTCATCTGGCAACATTTTTCTTTTAGTTTCCACATGAATTTTTCTGTCTCATTCCTCTGCTCAGCATTGACACATTCCTTTTGCACTTCAGGTATATGCTACAATGTTATACATGAAACCCTTTCTGAATACTCTAACACCATAACCCTAAATTTATTACTCCTTCCTCATTTATTGTCTTTATTTTTTTCCAAAATATTTATCACTATCTGACAAACTATGTATTTTAATTATTTAAGTATATATGTTTTTCTTATAGATTGTAAGATCCATTAAAGTAGAGATTTTTGTCCCATTTAAACTCTTTACTGTTGGCACAGCATGTTGGACAGTGCATGGCATAAAATAAATAATATTCATTGAAGGATTAAATCAATTGACTAATTAATAAATCCATCAATTTGAAAGGTAAATGTCTTGTCTATGAACAAATAAACACTGTTTATTTTCTACTGACTTAAAAAAATGCAGTTGCAGTAGAAAAAAAGTCAGAGGAAATTGGGGTGGTACCCAGGAGTTCAATCTAAAAAGAGATGTCATTAAATAAGCAAAAAATGCCTATATAATACATTTGTATATATGGGATCTGTCCAGAAAGTATCCATCCATGTAAGATGAAAAATAGACACATTTATTGATACAAGAAGCATCGTACATGGAATTAATGGTGCCTCAATGCCCTTCAAAGTAGATATCTTGGGACCTCACACAGTTGTCTCAATCACCATCAACTGCCTTATTATGTTTTCCTGAATCTCTGGGCTGTAGGAGGGCTGAGCCTCCTGGGTGATTTGATATTTTTCCAAAAAAAACTCTGCATGTGACGTGATGCATGAATGAGCACAATGTCTTGATGAAGCTGCCAATCACTAGTTTCCCATAGCTTGGGCCTTCTGAACCATCCAAATAGTTTCCATGGAGGAATGTTCAAGCTTAATGCAAAATTTGAGGCAAATTTGTTGTTCTACTTGCTCAGTCATTTTGAATGCCATGGCCACACAGTACATATACTCAGTCAACAGCATCTAACACTCCCACTGACTAGTACAGTGAAGTCATCATTGTTCATACATGCACATTCCAGTCCACTCTTCTTTGCTGCCAGGTTACATTGATATCACCCAAACCATTCTTGTTATATTAACAGTGGCTGGACATTTTCTGGACAGATCTTGTATATTACATATGCAGGTATACTTATACAGGAATATAAATTGGATATACTGTAGGAAATTAAGCATTTTAGTTGCCTTGATGGAGCTGCTGATCATAGATTGCTTTGCATTAGGGTCCAAGGCACTTCCTAAAGGAACACCTATCCTAAGAGAACAGGCCATGAGGTAGACAAATTTGTGCCATCTCCAAAGTTACAGAACAGTCCATAAGACCATTCTCATTTCTAATATAACATGCAGATTTCAGGACTTTTCTACACCACAATATCAACAAAAAACAAAATGGACCTTGGAATATATAATACAATTTAGAAGACCTATACGTAAACTATGAAATTTTAATTGAAGCTTTTTATAGAAAATTTAAATAAATCAAGAAATATAGCTTGTCATTTCTATACACACTAATCTATATAGTCAATTAAATAAAAACTAAATCTGAATAGTTTTAAAAAACAAAATATAATTGTCTCAACTTTATTGGGACAAGTATAGGTAGGCAACAAGTGAAAAGCTTGACAATATCAGTATTGGTTTGGATGTAGAGTAAGTGAAATTTTTTATTTTGGTATATTCACTTAGGGAAAAAATACTTCCTAATATCTACCCCTCAGCAATTCTACTCTTAGACATATAATCAGGAAAACTGTTGGCCATGAGCCTTGAGAGACAGATACAAATATGTTCATAGCAGCCCTGGCCATTGTGGCTCAGTTGGTTGGAACATTGTCAAGTAAACTGGAAGGTTGTGGGTTCAATTCCTGTTCAGGGCACATGTCTAGGCTGTGGGTTTGGTTTCCAGATAAGGTGTATACAAGAGGCAACTGATCAAGATCAATGTTTCTCTCTTCTCTCTCACATTGATGTGTTTCTCCCTCCTTTCCCCTTTCTTTAAAATTATTGAGCATGTCCTCCAGTGAGGATAAAAACAAAAATGTTCATAGCTGTTCTGTTTGCAGTATCAAACATAAAAAACCCACAAATAGAAACAACCTTCCTGAACACAGGAAAGAGAACTGGTAAGTAACTGAAGTACATTCACATAATAAGGTATTTTCAGTAATGAAAAGAAATTAAACAAAAATTAAAACAAACAGGTAAGTCTTAGAAATATAATGAGGAGAGGAAAAAAATCACAGAAACTGACATAAGGCTTGCCATTTTTATAAATCTCAAAAACAAATTTATTTATTGTACAGGGATAGATATATATGTAATAAAACCATAAAAATCAAGGGAATCATATTTAAAAATTCGGAATAGTGTCCCCTTCTAGATGAGAGACAAAAATAAAAGGCACAGGAGTTGTAGACAGTATGTATAGTGGTATTTAGTTTAATATTATTATAAAAATAATGAATGAAATATAAACAAAAGAATACAGTTGTGAGTGAATAATGATTGTTATAAATTAAGGAGGATTTATTTAGAACTATTAAAATTATATCATGAAACTGTTTTTTTTTTTTTCTATGCTGTTGACCCATGATGCTTTCCCTGTCTTTAAAACTCCTAAAGCATTTGTCGCCACTGTATCAACTTATCAGGCATCCAGTAAATTAAATGATGGTGGTTATGATGTTTATGCTTATATAAATTCTGTTATGTCCCTTAGGCTGATGTTCCTTAGACAATTTGTGCTTCATTTAACTACCCTAGTAAGGTTGAATTGCAATGATCGTCACTGTTTTACAGCTGGTATAAATATAAATTTCCTGATTAATGACACATAAAAAGTAACGTACTTTCAGTTCGATAAATTTCACAACTCGCCTTTCATTGGAGTCCATATAGTCTTTAAATTAAGCACCTTTAAACTAAGAATTATAATATACCTTATGAATATTAACTCCTTGCTTCCTATAAAATTTCAAGAGAAAATATTAATATTGCTATCCTAACATAATTTTTAAAACATTCACTTTTATAAGTGAGAATGATTGGAAGGGAATTAGTGGTCAGTTGTTATAGGATTGTCTTTAGATATTTTAAAAATATTTATTAATCTTTGCAAATTTCTAGTCTGCACTCAGTCAGAAATAGTTTTAACATATCTTAAAAAGAAAAGATGATGTGATTTTACAATAAGAAAATTTAGAAATATTACCATAGATTATTTCAACACTCTGAAACACTGAAATAATTATCTCTACAGCAAAGAGGTGCCACTCTGTGGATAATTACTGACGTGTTTCTCCCTAGGAGCCATACATACTACCTAGTAATTAAGAATACCTGCATTTAGAAAGCCTGAATTTTGCTTTGGTTTCTTACAAGTTCTTTCATTTTGATCAATTGAGTCTTGGTTTTTATCAAAGAATGTAAAGACTATACCAATTTCATGGTTTTGCTTTGACCATTAAATGAGTTAATACATATAAGGCACAATTCTTGCTTTTACTAATTTCCAATACTGGCAGCAATTTGTAATCTTTATTTCATAATAATCCTACAAATGCTATAGTGGAACTCTTTCAATTTTCACCCAGTTGACAAAAGACTTGATTAATAAGAAACAAAATAGATTTTAGTTCAAGAATTACGTTCATGGCCAGAGCTAGACAAAATTATGAAGTAAACAAATAGATCACATTCTGACTTTACTTCCACTTTTGTCATTCCTTTGATTTATGCCCTTGACTAGGTCCTCTGTTTTTAGCCCTCTCCCAAATATGAACCAGTTTTCTCTACATCCAATTCAGTACATTATTACATCATGTAATATGTGCATAACATGCATTATTATGTTAGCTAATAATAACTGAGCCTATGCAAGAATATTTAAGCTTTTATACTAAGACACAAGGGAGTGAAACATTTAAGGTGAAATTTTAGGAGTAAATAGATCAGTAGAGGATAGGTTATCACTTCAAGTTGCATGTTCTCTCTTCTTTTGGCTAATTTAAATTGTGTTGATGGTGAAATAACTATATATATATATTTATATATTTATATATATATAAAACATGTAATACATGCTATATAATACATATCTATCAAGGCCTGTCCAGAAAAATCCAGCCATTGTTAATCTAATGAGAATGGTTTGTTAATATAACAAGAATGGTTCATGTGACATTGAGGTAACCTGACAGCAAAGGAGAGTGGATTGGAATGCATATGTGTGAACAATGACAGCTTCATTATACTAGTCAGTGGGGGTAGTAGATGCCATTGAGTGAGCATGTGTACTGTGTGCCCATCTCATTCATAATGACTGAGCAAGTAGAGAAACAAATCTGCATCAGATTTTGCATTAAGCTTAACATTCCTTTGCAGAAACTGTTGGGATGATTCAGAAGACTTTCGGGGATGATGCAATGTGTGTAGCACAAATAAAAGTGTTGCACAAATGTGTCATACATGATTGAGAGTCTGTTGAAAGTCATCCATGTTCTGGAAGGCCTGTACAGAGAACCTGAGAATGTTGAATGCGTATGGGCTACAGTCAACAAAGATGGGCAACCAACAGTGTGAGAACTAGAAGCCGATCTGGGGATTCCAGAAACTATTGTGTCCAAGATTTTCATGAAGGGCTTTGGCATGAAACACATAATGGCAGAATTCATTCCTCAGTTTCTGCTACCAGAAAAGAAGGAACATCAGGCTGCAGTTGCTAATGACTTGATTCAAATAGACCTGGTTTCCTCAAGAAGGTCATAACCAGAGATGAATCATGGATCTATGGCTATGATCCAGAAATGAAGGCCCAGTCCTCCCAATAGACCTTGCCGGTTCTTCACACCTGAAGAAAGCATGGCAAAGTTGCAGCAATTTCAAGACCATGTTAACCATGTTTTTTTGACTGGGAAGGTGTTTTCAATCATGAGTATGCCCCTCCAGGCAAAACAATTAATAAAGAGTACCACATCAATGTTCTTCATAGGCTGAGAGAATGCAGTGTGATAAAAACAGCTAGGACTATTGGCAACAGGTGATTGGCAGCTTCTTCATGACAATGCTCCTGCTCATGCAGCACATCTTGATTTTGGCAAAACATCAAATCACCCAGGTGACTCAGTTCCCTTACAGCCCAGATTTGGTGCCCTGCATCTTCTGGTTTTTCCTAAAACAAAACTCACCTTTGAAAGGAAAGAGATTTGAGACCATGAATGAGATTCAAGAAAATACGATGGGGCAGTTGATGGTGACTCTAACAAAGGATTTTGCAGTGTGTTGAATAGTGGGAGAAATGCTGGGAGAACTGTGTAAAGTCCCAAGGTGCCTACTTTGAAAGGGACTGAGGCATCATTGTCCTATGTACAATATTTCTTGTATCTTGTATCTTCTTCAATTAATATCTCTATTTTGCATAGGTCATGGCTGGATACATTCTGGACATACCTCATATATGCATATATATGTGTGTATATTTGTATATCATATATACAAATATATGTATATGTACACACATACAAACATATACATATATGTTTGATTTTTTAAAATTCTCTTGAACAGTTAATAAAGCTAAGTCATTGTGCATGCAAATGCATAATATAAATGAATAAGCTTTTGCCTATGTTCCATTTAATCACCCTCCCCCAATTATTCTTTCTTATTTCTTCTAAGAGTAGTAACAGAACTGTGGAAGCTCTTAGCATCATATCTTCTCACAGTAACATGCAAAGGCAGGAAGAGGAAATGTCTGTCTTTGTGTGGCCAGTTTTAAGTTTTTCTTAAACTTTTCTAGAACCCCTCTGCCTAAAGATTCTCCAGAATGTTGTCCAGTATCACTTCATGCAGCTATTCCTGAGGTGACGACTCAGAAGAGAGGAAGCATTCTGACTAGCTGGTGGCACATCTCCAGCTTGGGCAGAGGTAGAGCTGGCTTCCACTATGGGAACACGTTTTTGTCCTGCCACCTTCTAGTCTCCAAATCACCTGCTCCAGGCAACATTCAGGATTTTCCACATATTGAGGTCCTTTGTTCCTATTTTTCTGATGACATATTAAATGTACTCCTATTACGTCATACCTACACAGTATTCAAATTAAATAATAACTCTCTTGTCAATAAAGTGTGAGCTCCTAAGGATCTGGGCTGTGTCTTTCTCATTTTTGGCCCTTTAATCCTGGAAGAGGAAGTTCTTCATGTCTAATGAAGAATAAAAAACTAAGGGATGGAATACTTCCACCACTCCAAAGCATAGTTTATTCTGAAATTTTGTCATTTATAAATATTTATTATACATGTTTATCTCTGGAGCTCTTCTTCAACATACATGGCCATACAATAAGTCTTCCTTGGACAAATGTCTCTTCAGGTCCTTTGTCCATGTTTTAATTGGATTGTTTGTCTTCCTGTTGTAGAATCATGTGCTTTTTTAATATAATTTGGAGGTCAAACCCTTGTCTGAGATATCATTGGCAAATATGCTTTCCCAAAAACTTGGTTCCCTTTTCATTTTACTGATGTTTCCTTGAGCTGTGCAGAAGTTTTTGATTTGATGAAGTCCTATTTGTTTATTCTTTCCTTTATGTCCCTTGCTCTAGGGGACATATCAGTGAAGATGTTGCTGCATGGAATATCTGAGATTTTCAGCATATGTTCTCCTCTAGGAATTTTATGGTATCATGACTTATATTTAAGTCTTTTTTCCATCTTGAGTTTATTTTTGGGTATGGTGTAAGTTGATGGTCGAGTTTCACTTTTTTTGCATGTAGCTGTCCAGATCTCCCAACACCATTTGTTGAAGAAGCTATTTTTACTTCATTTTATGCTCCCGCCCCCTTTGTCGAATATTAACTGACCATAGAGACATAGGTTTATTTCTGGGCTCTCTATTCTTTTCCATTGACCCATGTGTCTGTTCTTATGCTAGTACCAGATTGTTCTGATTACGATGGCCTTGTAGTATAGTTTGATATCAGGTAGTGTGATCCACTCTACTTTGTTCTTCTTTCTCAAAATTGCTGCAGCTATTCTGGGTCATTTATTGTTCCACATAAATATTTGAAATGTTGTCTTGTACCTGTGAAATATGTCATCAGTGTTTTTTTTAATTAATTAATTAATTAATTTTTTAAAAAAATTTTATTTTAATTTATTTTTTCAGATTGTGTTGAATCTATAATATGCTATGGGTAGTACAGGCATTTTGTTGATGTTAATAATTCAAATCCATGAAGATTTGTGTCTTCCTTAATTTCTTTCATTAGTGTTGTGTAGTTTTCTGAGTACAGATCTTTTACCTCCTTGATAAGGTTTATTCCTAGGTACTTTAATTTTCTTGTTGCTATAGTAAATAGGATTATTTTTCCTGATTTCTGTTTCTGATATTTCATCGTTGGTGTACAAAAATGTCTTTGATTTCTGAATATTGCCTTTGTATCCCACTGTTTTGCCAAATTCACTTAGTAGGTCGAATAGTTTTTTGGTAGAATCTATAGGGTTTTCTATGTACACGATCATGTCATCTGCAAACAATGACAGTTTTACTTCCTCATTTCTAACTTGGGTGCTTTTTATTTCTTTTTCTTGTCTGATCACTGTGGTGACGATTTTCAATACTACATTGAATAGAAGGGGTGAAAACTGACATCCTTGTCTAGAAACATATGAAAGGATGCTCAGCATCACTAACCATTAGAGAGATGCAAATTAAAACCACAGTGAGATACCACTTTACACCAGTCAGAATGGCCATCATAAACAAATCAACAAATGATAAGTGCTGGGGAGGTTGTGGAGAAAAGGGAACCCTAGTACACTGTTGGTGGGAATGCAGACTGGAGCAGCCACTGTGGAAAAGTTTAGAATTTCCTTAAAAAACTAAAAATGGAACTGCCTTTTGACTCAGCAACTCCACTGCTGGGGTTATGTACTAAGAATCCTGAAACGCTAATTCTAAAGGACCTATGCACCCCAGTGTTCATAGCAGCACAATTTACAACAGCTAAGAGCTGGAAGCAACCTAAGTGCCCATCAGTAAATGAGTGGATCAAAAAACTATGGTATGTTTATACAATGGAATACTATGGTGCAGAAAGAAAGAAGGAGCTCCTACCCTTCAGGATAGGATGGATGGAATTGGAGAGCATTGTGCTAAAAGAAATAAGCCAACAGGTTAAAGACAAATACCATATGATCTCACCTCTAAGTGAAACCAAATCAACATAACAAGGAAGCAAAGAGACATTGAAATAAAGAACAAACTGACAGTAACCAGAAGGGAGAGAGAGGGGGATACTGGGGGAAAAAAAGGAAAAGGTTGTCAGGGAACATGTATAAAGAACCCATAGACAAAAACAAAATGGGGTAAGATTGAAGTCGGGTGGTGGGAGTGGGTGGGGCAAAAGGAAACAGTGGCAGGAAAATGGAGACAACTATACTTTAACAAAGTAAAAAAAAAAAAAAGAAAAAAATAAGTCTTTCTGAATGCCAACAACTATTAATAAGAATAATAAAATAAAATGAAATAGAATTAATTAAAAATTTCTTTGCTGTTTTTAAGTGTTTAGATTTTGAACTTATACTTGAATTTGTTTCTCAAACATTTGAGCAGAAACAGTGGACATTGTAAACAGTGACTCAGGCAGTGGGAAGAATCAGAACTTCCCACAAAATCAGCCAAGTGAGCTCCTCAAAATGCAGGTTTACACATGTACAGTGAAAAATGCGAGCAACCACTGACTAAATCAGGCTTAAACATCTTTCCTCTCTAACTTACCTGAAGAACTTGACAATTTTTTTTTTATTTTATCACTTTTAAGTCATGAAGTTCAATTTCAAAATATTAAAATCAGTAATGAAAATGCTTACCAGTTTTGTAGTCATAATTTCAAATTTTCTAACTTCCTTTGTGATATATTCTGTAGTTGAAACCTTTCTTCTTCAATCACGATCTAGTTCATGATAAATTGTGATGATAAAAGTGCTTCATCTGGTGGAAAGGAGTGACTATTCTTTTTGCTAATGCACCCCATATTTGTCATTTTCAACCCCAAAATACTTAGTTACAGCACAGAATATAAAACTTACAGAGTAAGTCTATGAAATACTTTTTTGTTTGAGTCACTATCTATGATGTAATTTGAAATACTGAAATGATTAGATCAGTCTTTTTTTTTTCCATTTTTGTCACCACTAAAGAATAAGCATGCTATTATAGAAATGTCAACTTCTATATTGCCTAAAAAAATGAACACTATTTCCAGGATTTATTCTAAATCAGATTGCAAGGGTGGGAACTGATTTCTATGTACCCATTCATACACACTTAAGTAATTCTCTGTGTTTGATAAGCACTACCTATTTTCTACTGACTTAAAAAAAAATGCAGTTGCAGTAGAATAAAACTGTTGGGAAATTTGGGTGGTACCCTGTTAATTCAAATAACTTAAAACAGAGTTATTATATAAAGAAAGGAAACAGATATCAACTGTTGAAGTTTGTAAGTACATAGCATGGTGCTCATAAATAATATGCATTCAGATGTATTTTTATTGAGTGGATGTTGAGAGGTAGGTGACACAATTCACAAAGGGAAACTTTATTCCTCATGTTGAAACAAATATTTGGCAGAAAAAAATACAAAAGAGAGTTCACTTTGTTAGTGAAGCACACTCTCTTTTATTCTTTCTATAAAATGACACAGCAAAAGGAAATAATCTAAATAAGATGTCCTGTGAATATAGAAACTGAAGTCCAGAAAATCACTTTAAATATTTTCAGTAAAGTGCACATTTAAATTACATAATTTATGAATATTTAAATATTATAATTTAAAATAAAATCATTTAAAATTATTTTAAGTTGACTATGACTAAATCAATTAAAAGATATATACATATTGAAATAAACATGTAGAGATATTTTTATTTTAAGCATCATTAAGAAATTCCTATTTAGGCAAGATTCTACCAGGTCAGAAGTTTGATAGGTTGATGGCCCATCATCATGAGGTACTTAGTAAAAACCCTGTATGTATGTACATATGTATGTATGTGTAGATGTAACCTATTATATATAAATATAAATAATTTTGGTAACATCTAAACCCCTGGTTTTGACAGTGTGATCTTAACACTTGTATGATGAGTCATTTTAGGAGGTAAAAACAGTAACTGTTAATCAGATATGACAAAAATTGAGCAAAAAAACAAAAAACTTCAAGAACTTCTTTGAAACAAATTTTCACATATTATTATTAATTATAAATCACACTCAAAAATATAGGTGATGATATTCTGAAGTTATATCAATAGAGAAGTAAAGTATTATTTATTGCATCTTTATTTCATCTTTTAAAAATCTACTTTTGCATATATTTATGTAATATTAAAGAGATTAATTCTGGATAATATTATATTTAAATGTGTATATGTAGGTAGCAGATTAGTGAAAAAAATATGTAAGGAATGTCATGAATCTAATGATAGAATTTGGGAGGCAACTGATGGGCTATAGAGATTTGATGGCACTTCAGAACCTGGGAAGGGTTTGTGAAGAGATGTCAGGAAGCCTCAAGACTTCCTGAAATTGTATGCAAATCTAAGTGCATGTGCTGATTTGTATGTTTGTGAAGAGAGCCTGCGGAGCTGTCATAGCATTATCATAAAAACAGTGAGTCATTTTAACTTAAAAACAGCCACATGTTATCAATCTTTTATAAAATGTGGAAATATTATTTTATGGATTAAACTAGAGAATGTTTAAATATATTAGAAACAAATATTTGGTATATGTTAGAATGTTTGAGTAAATTTTTCATAATTTGGACTTAGTGCAAAATAAATAAGGCTTCATACAATTATATAGGTTGCAAAAATATATAATCAGGTAAATTGATTGAGGCGCATCAAATAGCAGGTATGACAACTGATAGCTAAAATGATATTTAATAGAAATCCATATGGTAGAATTTAATTCTTATTTCTATATAGTCATCAAAAATACATGATTAGACAGTACAAAGTAAAAACAGCTGAAATGAATTTCCACGCAGGTTACACCATGTTCCAGCTTCTCACTGAGTTCTTAGGAAGTCCGGAATCCACTCCTGTGAATATGACTGGTCTTTGCAGAATCTGTGAATTACTTCATTCTGCCACTGACAAACTGCAAGGCAAGGGAAGGCATATTTTTTTATTAGGGCATCAGGGTTACTTTCCTCCTCACTTTCTCCCTCTCCTCCATTCTACTTATCTCCTCTTCCTTACTCTCCCCTCTCCGCCCATTTCCCTTTCCCTTCCCTGACTCCTTCCAAGTCTTCCTGCCTCCCTCTCTCTCATCCTCCTTCCTTTCAGTTCAAAAGGTCACAATGCTCTCAAAAACAATTATTGTATTTTATTTTCATAAATTTTGTAAAAAAGTAGATATCAAAGGGTAATAGATATGTTGGGGGTTAAAAGACAATTTCAGTTTACTAAAATAGGGAATATAGTCCCCCCAAGAATAAATTTTAAAGTTGAACTAGAAAGTTCACTTATTTTTTAGCAAATCAAGAACAGTTTCTTCTCAGTCTATGTGCTAAGAACAGTTTCTTCTCAGTCTATGTGCTAATAATCTTTGAGCACTTTATATACTGTTACTTCCCATCACTCAAACAGTATCTTTGATTGTGTCTTAATTTCTGTATCCATTTGGCTACTTGTAATTTACATCAATATATTAGTTTTCACTAGGAAATCAATACTAAGGATGGAAGAAAAGTTTCAAGAATTAGTATTCAAATGTCTTTGACATATGAATGATACATGGTCTCTATCATTGTATTTCAAATTTTATGAAGGCCATCAAAACTGATGGCAAGTATATAATATAGGTGCTCTTTCTTTCCAACTTGGGCCTGGCATATTAGCTCCCGCAAAGAAGTGTGGCAAGAAGAAAAAGGGCCGTTCTGCCATCAACGAGGCAGTGACCACAGAGTACACCATCAACATCCATAAGCGCATCCATGGTGTGGGCTTCAAGATGTGTGCCCCTCGGGCACTCAGAGAGATCCAGAAATTTGCCATGAAGGAGATGGGAATTCTAGATGCACGCGTTGACACCAAGCTTAAGAAAGCCGTCTGGGCCAAAAGAATAAGGAATGTCCCATACTGGATGGAGGTGCAGTTGTCCAGAAAAAGAAATGAGGATAAAGAGTCACCAAACAAGCTCTATACGATGGTCACCCAAGTACCTGTCCCCACTTTCAAAAATCTACAAACAGTGAATGTGGAGGAGAACTAACTGCTGATTGTCAAATAAAGTTATAAAACTGCCAACCCCTCCCCCGAAACTGATGGCGATTATATAATATAGACCTTAAGGAACAGATCTGTGGATCATGTTTCTAAAATATTTTTACATGGTATCTTAAAACAATCTCAAGAAATTATCCTTTTGAAAAAAATGTTAATTTATCTAAAAGCAATTGGAATTAATTGTATATGTACATATCTATTAAGTAAATTAATTGCCTTTAAAATAAAATATGAAAATGATTAAACTTGATTTTAATCAATTCTAGAAGTTTTTTGGTTAGAATATGATTTATGTACTCACATTTGAACCCAGAGAAAAATGAATATTTTTAAATGTCATAATAATATTTTTAAATTCTGATATACTGTTTGAAATGCAAACACAACTTTCTAAGAAGTGTCTGAAATTCAAAAACTTAAGTAATTTCTTGCCCATTTTTTGTTAAATATACTGAATGATTTAATGTTTTTATGTATGAATATGTGGAATAAAATATTTTAATGTTTGTATATTTTAATCTCTCTCTAAACTCATAAAATTTTACTTTTAATAGAAATCAGAGTTCTTTCTGATCAATAATTTTTTTTAATTTTTTTGAGAGAATATTTCATAATAATCCTGCACACTTTCATTCTTTTGGGATGAAAAAAAATCTGGATGGCAGCCTTAGATGAGCCTGTTATGTTTCTCTCATGGTCCAGGCGGCTACCTCATCTAGCATCAGTGTGTGGAAGAGCAGTCATGCCTGCCCTAGCTTCCTGATCTCTACATGTTTTTGTTTCTCTTGGGGGTGGATGAGTTGAGACAGTAGATACAAAATAATGTTTGGCTCAAAAAAGTATATTTTACCATCATTATTGTTAAGAAGGAACTATAAAAATATTAATTTCTGCTTCTGACAATTAATATGGAACTTTATGGCTGGACAGAAATTTGGGAAACCTATAATCCAACTTTCATATTTTACAGACCAAGAGAAATAGGATCCTAGATTTTTTGAGTGACTGTATCTCAAAATTTCTGACTTACTCCAATGTAACCTCACTTTATCATGATGCAACAACTTGTATATTAATTCATTAATTTATTTATTATTAGCAGATTCCCATTAAGACTAAATTTTCTGATATATCTAGACATTTTACTTGGTTTATGCAGGTAGTACAACCTTTAAAAATCCATTAAGATCAAATGAATATGAATTTGGTTAAATTGGCTACAAATATTAATCATCACCATCAGCACAGTAATCTGCTATATTATTATAAAGCTTTGACAATGTACTTTATATATAAAATTTTGGTCAATTATAGCAAAATAGCACAAGATATAAATTTCATTATATTTTAGAATGTTATGCTTTGTCAAAAATCCTTCATCTGGCAAAATGTTTTTTGATGTTAAATTTATGTTCTTCAATAATGTGATAAATTAGAAGCTGTGTAGGTCTAAATAAACTAATTTAAAATGTTGTTTTTAAATGTAGAAACATTATTTTATAGGTATACTCTCACCTAATTAAAATATGACTCATTCTTGCCCAGAATCAAGTAGTGTCTTGTCCAACATAATTTCCTAGAAGCTGTTCTTAATTCCTACTGTTTCCCAGTTCCATCATGCCATGTTGGATCTTTAAGTAAGTATTATGGATAGTTTCTTGAAAAATGTTTACATAGGCAATATAGAATGAAGATATTCTTTGGAGCCCACAGAGATTTAGTTCTTAGAAAAGGCTGGGAATTCACTCTTTCCACTTTTATTTTTTATTACATCTAATAATATCATCTGAGCAAATAGCTTGGTTATATATTTCTAATGTTGCATTTGAATCATATTTTACGAAGTGTTGGCTTTAGAGCAAGTGGAGTCATATTAGAATTTTATTGGTTATTCTTGTGATTTATTAGGACAACTGAAAAATTATGCTGCCCATTTTAAGAAACATACCATTTGTAGTTTGCTGCTACAAGAAATCATTTTGGCTATGTAATGAGAGATATACAGTTGTTCTTGTCTATCCATGTGGAAAAAGCCAAACAAATGACAGGTATGGTATTAAATAAATATTCACAGCATTGGAATGGTAAATTATTTATTTTTGAGTAGCAATCAAATTATATTGTCAAAAACAATGTCATTCTGTAATGATGAATTCTTAATCATTGATTCCCTTTTACATTTTTCCCTTTCGACGTAAATCTTAAAGAGAATTCAAATGTGAATAAAAATGTTTTCAAATTTCTTATCAGGGCATTAAATTTTACAGATGATTTTCTGAGCTTAAGTTATTATTAAAGTTTGTCATGATGGTGAAAAATAATTTTGCTATTGCAGAGTCAAGTAAAAATAAGATTATTTGTTATGACAAAATCCTAGCAGTGTAACCTAATAGCATCACATTATATTTCATTGTTTCGCTCTACCATAAAAATGTTTTGGGGTTGTGGATAAGTAATTGCTTAATTAATTCTTTAAAAAATAAAATCAAACCCAAAAACAACTATCTTCTTTATGAAAAAATACCTTTTTATAATTTTATGAGTTTGATCACTACTTTAATAATTTGATAAAAATATTTAAGATATGAGACACTTTTAAAATTATTTGGATATAATAACTTTGTGCTATTCAATATGTATCTGTTGTAAGAACCAGGTATGCTTATAATAATGATTAGGTAGTTTGTTTTAGTAGGTTTTCATAGTGTGTAGTGAAAACAAAATATATTTTTATCAAATGCCTATGTTATAGACTGGAATTCTGTTTTCTTTTTATATAGTCAATTTACTATCAGCTACTGAAAGAGAGTAAAGTAGTAGCATATTTATGTGAAATTGAGGAGTTTTTATTAAAAAACACTAGTTTGACTCAAAGTTTCTATACTTTCAAAATAAACCAAAAAATATATATATTTGTAGAGATGAAATGAAATCTCTGAGGGAGCAAGAAAAAGATGCATATGAGTGTTTCTTACAAGGGAAATTCTTGTTGAGATGTATCTAAAATGGAGTCACAGTGTGAATATAAGTCTCTTCAAACACAGCTGAGGATATCTTTAGAAACAGATCATTCTTATGGTTCTGAGAAAGCACTGGTATTAGTTCATTGGGAGAGCTACCATCCCAACTCTAAATAGAATTAAATTTGTCAAAATACTCTTGTAGAACACACACTCACATTCACACAATTTAAAGAACTTTAAATGCTGATCATCATCAAAAAGTATGTTAACGGAAAAACATTGTTGGGTGTTACATAAACTCATGATCCTTTTTTTTTTTCTTCCTGAAATGGTATAGAAAGATAAGAACAATCTGAAGATTTTAAAACATTTTGAGAAACAGCAAGGACAGACTATTGTTGAAAAAATTTTAAATTTTATAGCAAGAACAAATAACAGATGATATCATTTACTGTATAATTCTAACAATTTATGTTCATGTACTCTCACGGTTTTCATGCCTTGTTTCTAAATTTGGGGTCTTAGGGCAGTGTTGTAAAACATCCTGTTTTAGATAAGGAAACTGAAGATTTAACTGAGGGTAAAGATGGAACTAGAACCCAAATCAGAGCTGTATTTATTTATTTATTTATTTTTTACTTTTTTCCCCCTCATGGTACACACTGTCACACACACTATTTCATTCTAGTTTTTCTTTTCACGGAGAATATGCACAGGGAGTGGCTCCAGGCGCGGCTGGCCCCTGTAAACGGAGCACACCTGGGCTTGACGTCCAGGTCCTCATCTATAGGAGAGAATTGACATTCATGTTCTTCTCTAGCCACTCCCCATTGTGCCACCTAAGTCATGAAAATGAAATTTAAACTTGAAGGCACAGAACATATATGATGAGGGGACGTTACTGATACAAGATAGAGAAACATATTCTGAGATCTCCTAAAGGGCTCATGTAAGGTTAGGGAGCCATGGTCTTGCGGAATCACATTGATTAAGCCTAAAAAGGTAACAGAGGTATAAAATCTGGACTGCAGATAGTTTATGAAAAACTTTGGAAAATGAGAGCTGCAAAACACTGAAGACAAGTGTTGAAAAGAGATTTAGAAAACTCTTAAGTTGTTTGATTCTGAAAAAAAAATGTTAGAAGTTAATGGTGTGTGAGCACTTAGTAAAGAAAGCAGTGATAACCAAGGGAAAGTATATATCTTTTACCGGCAAGCCATGTTAAATGAACAGTTTTAAAAATTACAGTGCAAGACTGGCAGATTAGTTTATGTGTGTATGTTACTATAGAATAACTTTCTTGATAGTCTTGTGGTAAAGATGAAGAAATCAGTTCAGGTTACGTCATATGCAGGGTAGGTGGATTTTTAGGAGAATAAATAACCTTAAAGAGTATTAACTGATAGTTCAAATTAGACTGGTAAGTGATGTTTAATAATTGGCCATGTGCTACTTCAATTAAACATTTTTTAGTATATATTTTATGCATTACTCAGAGATCTGCTTTGAATATTGCTATTATGTCTTCCAAAAATCTGGGCTTCTGCTAGACTTTCTGTTTGATTAAAAAATAATATTTTAGTCCTAGCAGGTGTGGCTCAGTGGACTGAGCGCCGGCCTGTGAACCAAAGGGTTGCTGGTTCGATTCCCAGTTAGGGCACAGGCCTGGGTTGCAGACCAGGTCCCCAGCGGGGGGCACATGTGATATAATCACACATTGATGTTTCTCTCCCTCTTTTTCTCTCTCCCTTCCCTTCTTTAAAGATGAATAAATAAAATATTTAAAAAATAATCTTTTAAAATGTTTAAATCAGTATATTATCTTTAAAACAACTAATAAATTGTGCTATCTACATCATTGCTTCCACTATGGCTCAGTGTCACAATGCAAAGTTAGAACTCTGTGAGACCTTTGTTTAATGTTGTTAAATATTTATTTGTTATAAATGTATTGTCACTAACCATGACTTTAATTTGGTAATAAATTTATTTCCCCCACCACAAGCAAACAAATAAAATATTC